TCACGTGTGCCATAGAGTCATACAGCTGTACAGCATGGAAACAGACCCTTCGGTCCAACCCGTCCATGCTGACCAGATATCCTAAATAAATCTCGTCACATTCGCCAGCATTTAGCCCATATCCCTATTCATGTACCCAGCCAGATGCCTTTTAAATGTTGTAGTTGTACCAGCCTCCACCACTTTCTCTGGCAGCTTAATTCATACACGCACCATCCTCTCTGTGAACAAATTGCTCAGTGTGTCCCTAAAAAGGTGGAATGTGTCGAAAGTAATCCAAGCTAATAGATACACTCAAATAGTTTGCATAGATCTAAATTAAACTAATACATTTACTTCCTATGTATCTTCTTGTATTCATTTTGATCAGAACTTAACCCATTAGGCACTTCCAGCCTAACAATACCATTGGCACAATAAGCAAAGTCTGAGCAAAATATTCAAGAATGAGAAAGGAGAGGAGGATGACAGAGGGAAGAGTTTCCTAATACCTTGGATAGATAGAAGGACACTGTTCCCACCACTTTAATGAGACCAAAACATTCCATGACAACAGCCTGTTTGTCCTATAGTGTCATGGAACCGTCCCCAGTTGTCACAATTGCATACTTTCTTTGCCTAACTAACTAAGGAATCACAGGAGTAATGGTTTAATTGTTTTTAAGTTCGACAACCAGCAGTCCTTAATTCATCATTTCACTGGCATAATCGAAAATGTGACTGATAGGTCATTGGCAAAATTAGGATCATCGAGAGTGGAAGCTGTACTGGAACCTGTAGAAGTAGGTGATGATAATTATGAGTGTGTCCTCGATAAACTTTCAAAAGAGGCTGTGAAAAGAACAACCGAGTTAGAAAGAGTTCGGAATAAGATTGTCGATGGTACCCATTTTACAGGTGGATAAAGAAAACAAAAATCTGCAGGAATTGATTAAAAGGCTGCAAGTTAAAAATGATTACCACAGGAATGCACTATACCCATTATGTGTAAACAAGGGGAAAAGCTGCAGGTAGACCCAGTGTGTGACTGGGCAAACCGGGTATTGATGTTAAAGCTGATGATAAAATGGACTTTTCCCTTGATTTGGAAAAATTAAAACACACCAGATAGAAATCTATGAACAGACAGCAGCTGGGACTATTATCTTACAAGACAAGGCAGGTATCCTTAACAATGTAGTTGACATTGTTTCTCTCACTGTTCCATCCCTATGTACTGAGAGAAAGCTGGTGTGTAATATCACCCAGGAGCTGGAATGGGAGGACAGAGGAGTAGGACCCTTAGGCACAGTTAGGGAGGAGATCAACAAGTCCCTTTCCCCCAGTGAAGTTCAAGGAGCCTCTGTGAAAATTAGATTGTATTCACAGAGAATTCCCATGACAGCATCCCTTACATTTGACTGTAATCAGCCCTAAAACAGCAAGTAGTCTGAAGGCATCAAGACTTTCAAATCTAAGTTCATTGAAAAGCTTGAAAAGTGTTTTTCTTTCAAAAATTGTTGTAGAAACCGTGCTGTCAAAAATGGTTTAGCTTGCTCTGCAAATATAGTAAGTTTTTTTGGGAGGTATCAGAATTTGGAATGAGAAATGCTTTGTCCTTATACTTGTATTGCTTCATTTTGAAAGGTGATCTTATAAGAAAGAGCTAGAAAAGTATTTAGTACAATCGAAATTCAAAATTTCAATTTGAAATGATCAGGAGATTTTGACAGTACAATTTGATGTCACTGGTGACTTGGGCCCTGTCCCTTCTGAGACCAGCAGAGTTAACTCTTTCTGTTGACAGTTTTGAATCTTCTCACAGACCTTGTGTATGAGGAGATGAGTGATTTTGGATAGGACTAAATTCTGGAAGTTAACACCACTCTGGCTTCTTCTAGAGCTACAGTGGAGTTTGTTTTTTTTTTAAAGTTTTGAACACGTTTCAGGAACACAGCGTGGGAGCTGGAAGTCTTGTTGGGACAAAGTCTTTGACAACAGGAGAACGCTGAACTGACTACGATCACTCAAATCTCCACTGTAAGAACATGGCTTAAAACCATCTAGCCTAGATGAAATTGTTTCTGAAATTGGAATTGATAAAATTATTTGATACAAGTTGCTAGTTCAAGCACACAATGGGAAATTCTATTGAATTTTGAAGTGCAAATAAAATTAAATCTTTAAATTTTAATTTAAAACAAGGACCAATGGAAACAGTCTAGGTAGTTTTAATTTGTATCAGGAAAAATTATTTAGGAAGAAATTAGACGAATAAAACCTGCTAGCACAACAACAGTGCATGAAAGAAATTTTGAATTTGGAATCTTTGAAAGAAGTTGAATATAATCTAGCAAGTTACAATTTTCTCAAATGTATGTAAGTTTTTGCAAGAAAGATCAAATAATCAACATTTGGTAATACTTGAAATGACACAGTAATAGTGTTTGTTTGTCTCTTTTAAAGCTATTGTGAATACAAGCCTTTTTAAACAAAAACAAAATTGGACTGTAAAGTTTTGCTAGAGTTGCTGATTCAGTTATAATGGTAAGTTAACGGGTCCACACTTCGAATAAAGAATGGTAACAATGTAGAAATGACGCAGCATTAAATAGAGATGGAAATTATTCATTTAGGTGTAATTAAGTGGAATGTATTCAATGAAATCCAACTGTAGATAGAGTTCAATAATTAAGAGGTCCCACCTGCCCTGAACAGGTTGATTAAAATAACTGTACTTAACTAACCTCCACCTGGATTCACTAAGATTTACATTCTTGCAAAGCCATTTCACCTAAAGCCCTTGTCTATTCTATTGGACTATAATTCACTGCTTCATTTGCTCTCATTCCACTTGTCACTTCTGAATCCTAACATTTCATTGTTAGACATAAGCAGTTAGTTCCATTGTTCATGTTGGTTGTGTGGGGGATTCCTTCAAGCCCAGAGTGGTCTACTGTGGAATTAGGTCACCTTCCTGGTCTAACTAGAAGTGTCATGCTGAGTAAACAATCTGAGGTTTACTGCATTATTTTCCACTATTTGCAGATTGGATGAATATGATTGAATAGGAAGCGTTTAGATAGATATGGGCCAAATACTAGCAAATGGGACTAGATTAACTTAGGATATCTGGTCAGTGTGGACGAGTTGGACCAAAGGGCCTGATTCTATGCTGTACAACTCTATGACATTATTGCAGAGACTGTTAGGAGAACACGAGCCCCAGATCTGCCTCTGGCAAGCTCCTTCTTTACTCTGACCAAATCCCTACTACATGATGATTGAGTGCAGTTAGCATTAACCATTAAGTCTTATCACTTTACACTTCCAACTTTGACTCTAAGTTTCAATAAATGTTCAGTCCAAAGAAAAGAAAAATCTAAAAACGGTCTCATCACAAATTGATTAAAAACAGCAAAGTATGGGCCCAGCTGCAGTCTAATGAACTCCATATTTGCCTCCATAATAGCAGTGACTACACTTCAAAACCCAATTTTTACTTATGAAACATTTTGACATGTCAAGCGGATGTTTTACAGAGCCACATAAAACAATTTCTTTGTTTTGTGTATGCCCATCCAAAAAGCAGTGGGAGGAATTTCAAACCCGAACAAACTGGCTGGCCTATGGATGTTAAAAATCTAAATTCTGATGTCAATTCACCCATCTGCTTTGGGTTTTTAAATGAGAGGGAATTTGGGAAGGGAGACAGCCATCCTGCTTCCAGGAAGTGGGATGACAATTTAAATCATATTAAGACAGCTTAATTCACTCTTGAGCACCATTTCAAAGTGAACTCTAAACATTCTGCTTTTCTGAGCTCTATAGGAAGGTGGCAACTATCAGATTCAGGGAGGTAGCTGCTAGTGCCCTGCAAGCGGATATCATGCTATTGACCTTTTATATCCGTGCCCCAGCCCGGCAAGGTGACACCTTTCCTCCCATTCTTTTCTCCTCCATCACCAGAGGTCTCTAACCTCATCCCTAGTATTTCAACCTACTTGTCCAAATTTTCAACATTCAATTATGGGGAACATGAGCAGAAGGTTATGTACAGTGAAAGTGACCTCTGTGCCTGAAATGATATGCACACTGTACATGCAAAGCTTCAATTTGCAACATTCACCCCTTTATGCAAAAAAAAAACTGCGTTACAGCATGAAATGGCAAAATGCACAAGCTAAGTTTGATCATGGGCCCCTATTACATGTCACCAGCCAACCACAGCCACATTCGAATAATATCCATACAATTCTCTTCAATTACTGCATTCTGAAACACACACTTACTCACCTTTCACTATATATATAAAAAAAACTCATTGAAAGTAAACAGAAAGCAGCACAGAAACCTGAGGGAGACATTTGTCCTGCTTGCCTTCCATCTGTCCCTGCTAGTCGGAGAGGTACTTTGAGCACCAGTGCAAGGCTACTCTGCCAATAGCGAGCTGTATGCCTAGAAGGGTTTGCTGCAGCTCTCCAAACAAATGTTAGATGGCCAGAAGGCTCACCTGGTCAGCACAAAGAGGTACAGTAACTGGGACTGCAGATAATACTCTGGTGTAATCACAGAGCACTCCTGGCTGCATAAAAACAATGCCAGATGATCAACCAGATTTTAGTTAGTGGATCATCCAGGGTGCATAAACAACTTAGCAGTCTCTCACAGTACCCTGCTTATATTAGATAAAATGCAGCTCCTGTCCTCGGGGCCTACCTAAAACAAAGCCAAACTTAAAATGATTGAAGTGTAGGTGAGGGCTAGCAAATCAGTCATCTTAACCTTTAATAAAACATTGTCCTAGATCTGTGGAGTGGCAGGAATTTAGAAGCTGCTCATGAAATCTGCTCATGTGGAATAAAAGTTGAACTTACTTCACAACCTAGTGCCAGTATAGTTCCATTTACCTGAACATCAGCAGAATCTTTGCAAGAGTACTTTAACAACATGCTTAGAAAACAGTAATTTTACATGGAATCCATTCCAAGGTTCAGTAAAATACATTAGACTACTCACAGTTGTTTTAATATTTTAATGTGCACATTTCAAAGGGTAGAGGAAATGTTTGAAAATAATACTTGGGCTGAGTTACAAACATAGAATTACATTCTGTTGACATGGTGCAAGTAAATTCAAATTCATGCATATTTTTCAGAAAAAATGTCTCCATCTAATTTCTAAATTATGAAATATTTATATAATTAATGCAAATGAATTATTAATTTAAATCTTCATATTAAAACAAACTTGTTGTTGTTTTGATCATGCCTTTTTGAACAATTTCAATGTCAATCATCTTTCTTCTTGAAATCAAGTTTCTGGTTAGTAAGTGGGTGGTGCTTCCTTCGATGTGTCCATTCCATTATTACTTCCAACGACCACCCACCTTGCCCTTACCACGAGGTCCTTTTGCACTGCTGCAAGTTTGAAAATAAAAATTGTTTACCAATATCATTTAATTAAAAAAACAAAAATGTAAAAATTATGCATTACCTCATCCTTAATCTTTGGTTCTCATAAACAAGAAATAGTACAAGCCGTTGCACAGATTTGATTAACTATCGCGCAATGAAAAGATTAGTGGCTTTGCTGAGAATGTTCGGATGAAAAATGCTATAAACAGAGCTGCAGTAAAATGGACAGGAAAAGTCTGAAGGCCTGAGGACTGCATTAACAGCAACAACAAACACCAACTTATAACTATTTATCAGACGTTATAATTACCAACTAGTATTTGTCACTAGGTCTCAAATCAAAAATAGATGATTATATTGGTAGACTACACACCAACTGCAGATAAAATTATTCACATTTATGATAAAGATAGTACATTTGTGTCACAGATTCTAAAAAAAATGTAAATTTTTGTACAAAATACTTCTATCTCCATTAACTTTTTGTTGCAAGAATTCCAATTATTAAACAGTGGAAAACAGAAACCTGGAAGCTCGGAACCAGCAGTTCTTGGCAAGAGAGCTACACAGTACCTGTCAGTGATCAAGTACCTGTTCATTCTGTTGATCATCAATCGACAGATAGTGGCAGAATTCAGCTCCATGATTTTTTAATTGCCAATGATCAAAGACATTTAGTTCATTTTACTTTGATAAAAAGACCTTGTATTTATGGATAACCTTCAATGACATTGTCCATCTGAGTGATGCTATGTAATAGACCTTATCATACGGTGGGTAACATTTCTGCCTCTGAGCCAGAACCTCAGGGTTCAAGTCCTGCTCCAGGACCTCATGGCCAAGGAAGATACATTCATAACGTGACCAAATAGATGGAGCATCAATTTGGAAATCCTTTTAACATTTGACAATAGTCAAAATTATTTCTGGTTAGCCATATGATGCAAAACGAAATTGAGAATCTCTCCAATCCATAGTCAGTCCCTAGCTCCAGACTGCAATATGGCATGTACCAGTGTCACAGCAACACGGATATCCTGAACATTTTGGGGGGCTGATTTGAAAGGCATTGTATTATCTGTTAACGACATACATGGAAGTCAAGTCAAAGCATGCAAACTAATTAATTCCATGTCCAGTCGATGGAGAGAGTGAGAGCTTCTTCCAAGTCCCTTTTTATGTCCTTCTCTGTAGAGCCTGAAGAGTTCAGTTTGCTGGTGTTTATTGCCTTTTCTCTTTAAAGGGCAGAGACCCACTCTGTACAACTACGAACAATTTCTTGTACACAAAATCTGATGTCACCGGGCCGACACTCAAGACAAAAAGGGAAATTACTGTCAGATTTTTTACTTACAATTTTCCCATCTGTTCATGGACGCGAATTTGCAACAGGTTGATCTGGAAGAATAATACAATTAGTAGCAAGATTATCCTGTGGGATACTGAAGTAATCCACATTCATACGCAGCAAGATGTAGACAATTTCAGGTTTAGGTTGATAAATAGCAAGTGACATCCATACCACACAAATTCCAGGCAATGACCATCTACAACAAGAAAGAATTAACCATTTCCCCTTGACATTCAATAACATTGTCATTGAATACCTCATTATTATTCTGGGGTTTTCCACTGATCACAAACTGAATTGGACTAGCCATACAACTGGTCAGAGACTGGGAATTTCACCGAGTCACTCATCTCCTGGCTCCCCAAAGCCTATCCTGCATCAATAAGACACAAATCAGGAGTGTGATGGAATATTCCTCACTTGCCTGGATGAGTGCAGCTCCAACAAAGTTGAGTGTCTTCCACCCTTGCCACTATCTTAAAGATTCAATCCCTTCACCACCATGGCACAATGTGTTTCAACAAATGACATTAAGGCTTCTTCAACAATATCTTTCAAAACCAAGGCTTTTACTACTGAGAAGGACAGGAGCAGCAAATGCATAGGAACATCGCACGCGCACACACGCATCACTCAGAGATAGTAGGAACTGCCGATGCTGGAGTCAGAGATAACACAGTGTGGAGCTGGAGAAGCACAGCAGCCCAGGCAGCAGAGGAGCAGGAAAGCTGATGTTTCGGGTCGGGACCCTTCTTCAGGCTTCTTTCTGAAGGGTGCCGACCTGAAACGTCAACTTTCCTGCTCCTTTGATGCTGCCTGGCCTGCTGTGCTTCTCCAGCTCCACACTGTTATCTTAGAAGTAGATCACCATTCTTTCACTGTTGCTGGGTCATAATCCTGGAATTCCCATTCCAAAAAACAGTGTATATACCTGCACCACAGCAGATCAAGAAAACAGTTCACCACTACCTAAAAGAGCAACTAGGAATGGGGGAAAAAATTCTGGTCTAGCCAGTGACACCCCACATCCCATGAATAAAATTTGAAGTGAACAGCTATTTGCAGAGGACACAAGAATAGGCGAGAAGGCAAGTATTAAGGTTGACATAAGGAACCTGCAGAAGATTACAGGGAGAAGTTGAGTGGGCAAAAATGGAATATAACATGGGAAACTGTGAGGAAGATTAGAAGAGCTGAATATTATTTAAATGGGGAAAGACTACAGAAACTTGCAGCACAAAGAGATTTGTGGATCCTAGCGCATGAATCACAAAATGTTAGCATTCAAGTTCGAGACAACAAGGTGCAGAGCTGGATGAATACAGCAGGCCAAGCAGCATCATTAATTTAAATGCTCATTACCAGAATACATGCAAGAACAAGAAAAT